ACACAAAAACTAAGCAAATTACAGGCACAGTAGGGTACATATTAATGAGAGAATCTGAAAGTTGGAGACACCATCCAGAGCTACAACATTGTCCAAAAGCCTTGCTAACCTTGATATTTACAACTTGGGACACTGATCAGCCATGCACACAGCTCTGTGCATGGCAAGGCAAAGAGAGAAGAGCCTTTTTTTTTTCACTGCAGTCAGCCTCAAGGCTCAGGTGAAATGAACTCAACAGCAGGGCTGTGTATCTTATCTCACCTCTAGGCTAGGCACAGACATTACACATAAACCGGTTTAAGTGATCAGAAACTGGTTTAAATCTGTAACAGAACGTATGTTCAGTGCCCATAAACCAGTTCGAGAATGGCTGAAACCAGTTTGAGATAAACCTGGTTCAATGTAGTATCAGACTTAACTGATTTGTCTCAAATCGGTTTATGCAATGTCTGTCCCAGACCCCTTGCTGGTTTAAGGAAAACCAGACATGCCAAGCATCTCGGCATGCTCTCTGGGCTGGGTGGGGCTGTCCACTCCACAACAAGGCTGGCCCCTCCACTCTGCTCCCTGGCTGCAGTCCCCACACTCCCCCTGCACCCTCCCCGTTACCACTCCCTACTAAGCAGGAATCCCATCCCCCCCCGGGCCTTGCTGAGGAGACGTCTGTGTATTAGATAGCAGACCACATGCTGGCTACCGTCAGTGCTGAATCAACAGGTAGAATCAACAAGTAGCTGGTAATGTCCCTCTGTTGTTTTCTTAATGGGGTGATAAACACTGTTATCAATTCCCTGTTGGGACTAATCACAGCATCCTGCCCCCTCAGCTCCATGCTGTGGAAGGGAGGGCTGCTCTAGTGCCCCCAGCTTCAAGCCTGAGCCAGTGCAGGCATGCGCCTGCATTTCTGGGATGTCTGTCCAGTTACAAAACTGATTTAGCCTAGCCAAGTTAAGCTAACCTGCAAAGATTGAATCAACTCAGGCTTTTTAAATGTCTGTCCCTAGCCCTACACACTGCAGAGAGAGCAGGAGAATGGGCCGCCCAGAGCAGAGTGGAGGAAGTCAAGCTGAATTTTGCAGTAAACTGCAATGCATTTCTTCCACCTGGGAACAAAGGAACACATCCATTTGATTAATATTTTCTTCCCAAGGTTCATGCTGGGATAGTACAGCTGCATGTTGCCTCTTGTATCAGTTCATTCTAGCTCTAAATTCATAAACTTGCAGTCAGGGCAGGCTTTAGTTATGCAGGAATGACTCCACCATGTTCTTGGACACAAGGAGTAATGACTTGTATAGCTTAGGTACCATAGATGGCCTCCTGTTTTGCCATAAGTGGCATTAAATGGTTCCTAGACTGGGTGCTGACTGCACAAGAAATAATTTCACCCTTAATCAACAAAAAAACCCCAAAACATTTAGTGGTGTTACTATGTTTCTGAATCAGGTCCTACATCTGTTTTAGTGGGCCCAACTGAAAGCCAACCTCATAAAGAACAGGCTTTGTTAATTAGTAACAGTAGTTGTGTACTGGCATCTATCTCCTTGTACATAGTTATCTCCACATTCTTTCCACACCAAAAGAGGAAAGACTCATTTGCTGATTCCTTGTGCAATTCTCCTGGAAGTGAGTATAGAGTTGCCTTAACATGATACTAATTTATTACAGTTCCTGTTATTTTAATAAACACCAAGTGCATTAATTGGAGGGAGTCTATTTTTCTAGAGATGTATTCACATTTGCTCATTGGGGCTCCACCAATTGCCCTGGGGTTAAAATGACACAGTAGGTTCAAGGCAGAAATCTCCTCTGAACATGGATGTTTTGAATGCATAATTCTCTTGGCTCATACTTTGGGTTGGTGAGTTAATAGAAAAGGTATGGTATTTCACAACTAGGTCAAGCTACTTATGATCCAGCTTTAACTATCATAAACATACTACCTTTCTCTTCAAGTGAAAAAAAAGCCAGAATGGACTAAAAATGTCTAACTATCAGTTCCACCTAAGCATATCACACACTGCAGTCAAGTGACATAGTAGCTAAAATTCAGAGGTGTTTTCATAGGACCTTGCTCTAAAACTTAGCATATACTTAAGTTACCAAACTCTTTGATGATGAACTGTGCATAAAGTGGCTTGAAACTACTTAGGTACAGAGGTAATTTGTGAAGAATTATAGGGCTGCATAGATGCTGTGATGGGGTGTTTTAAAATTGCCATTTCTATTTAAACTGATTTCACACAAAGATTTTTGCTCTTTATTTGTATAACACTTAATACAATGGGCTCTCCTGGGCCATGACTCACACTCCTTCATAGTAAAATAGAATACAAATATTAAGTCTAGGGGAAAAGATTGCTCTCTAGAACAGCATAACAAGGTGGCAGGCTGACAACTCCACACCAAAATGCAGGGCCCCAATCTTTCTGCACTCAGCTGTATTGTGAATTACAGCCTTGTCTAAAACTACTGGGTAAATTGTACTCCCTCACAGTGGAAGGTGTGGTTTATTAATCATTTTAGTATGCGAGAGACATAGGCAGGACCTACCTGCTAATCAAAGGGAGATAGGGACAGAGGGTTCCTGCAGGAAATCCTAGAAACAGGCTTAGGGAGCAAGTCTGGGCTAAGAACCATATGCTGTAATTGGATTATCAACATAGCAAAATTCACTGAGAGGATGAGTATGACTTTAACCAGCATCTGTGAAGGTCATGTGAAACAGGGTGAAAACAATCCCAGTTTGCAAGTAATCAGACAGCTTTAAAGGGCTCGATCAGTAGCTTTAGACAGTAGTGTAATGAGGGTGGGGTGAGCAGTGTACCAGCATGGCCCCCACCCCATAGGAGTCTACCACAGCAGAGATATCTCTTCCTGTCTCTATGCCACATGTTATATGAAATCAGGGAGATGAGTGGTGGAATGATGCTTTGCCATGTGCAGGCATAGCCTTGTCCCCAGGGATAGAGGAGGAGCTCTTGGGCAGTTCAAGCTACTGTCTGTTCCTCAGTGGTGGGCTGTTATAGCAGCAGCTGCAGCACAAGTGAGGAGGGATGAGAGCCCCACCAGGTAAGAATCCTCTCCCCCATCGCCTCCAGGTGCTGAAAAAAAAGTAGACTTGAAAACTCTTCTTGCTAAGTTTAGGGCCAGATTCTTTAATGTCACGTACATTAAATAGCAATCTTTACTCATCCAGCAGAACGCCAGCATACCATACTCTAATGATACCCGTATTAGAGGTGTAATCAGCTCACTCCTGCTTTCTCTCTCTCTGGGCAACTGTCTTGCACTTTGAAACAAAGTTGCAATATTTCATTACTCTACAAGAATAAATGCAAGTAGAAATAGGAAGTACAATACACAGCAAGGTCTTCAGGCCAAATCCTTCTTGTTTTACTCTTGTGAGCAATCTCATGAATATGAAGTGTTGTTTCTGAAACCCAAAATAAAAAAAGCTACTGACTAGTCTGAATTAGAAGCAAACTTCTAAAGTGTGGTTTTAGGAGTGTTGCTGCATGTAAGTTTTACGGGGCAGCTCTTAACCAACAGCCTTGAAACTGTAAACAGATTTCACCACACACATCCACTGCTCTCCACTCTGTATTCTCAGCATGCCGGCACAGATGTGGAGACAGATCATGTCTCTTCTTTTATTGTGCAGCAGAACCAATGTGGCCTCATCATAAAGGATGAACAAGGTTTAGGGAGCTCTTCTCTGTGGAAGCTGAACTCCATCCCTTCCAACACATGTCTGACAGCATGGCTAGGGACAGAAATTACACATAACCCGTTATAAGTGTAGCCCGGGTGTACACGGGTTTGTACTTCCCTCTCCAATTGAGGGAATTATTGGCATGGCAGTGTGCTGTGGAGGGACAAAACAGCTCAGTGGCCACCTCCATCCCCTATAGAGTCAGATCCAGTCAATCAATTACTTAACTATATACAGATTTATTATCACAACAAAACCATTAAAGGGTAAGGACATAGATTATATATATATATATATATATGTACAAGTTTACAAAACAATAAACCCTATTATATCTATACACACACACACACATATACCACACCCAGTTTGGGGTTTGTTTGTTTGTTTTTTTTTTGGGGGGGGGGGGGGGCC